ACAGTGGATCAAAAGATTTGTGCATTTTTAAATCTGATACATATAAACTTGTCAAATTTAATTCCAAAGAATTTATACCAATTTACAAATGCCATTGACAGTGTAAAAGGCTTTGTTGATCAAAGTGAACATTATCAAATTTTTGTAAATGTGTGATTCGAATGTTTGAACATTGCAATTGTTACCGGAAAAGGATCCCAATCCAGATGCCAAGACAGGGTTCTTGGATCTTGTACAAGAAAGAATTCAAGGCAAATTCATAAAGTGAAAGCAAGTTTATTAAAAAAGTGAAAGAATAAAGAATGGTTACTCCACAGGCAAAACAGCACCTTGGGCTGCCGATTGGTTATTTTTATGGTTGTTTCTTATATGCTAAATAAAGGGTGGATTATTTATAAATTTTCTGGGAAAGGGGTGGGCAATTCTCAGAACTGAGGCTTCCTCCCCCTTTTATACCATATAGGGTAACTTCCTGGCATTGCCATAACATCTGTAAACTGTCATGGGAGTGCTGGTGACAGTGTCTTTTAGCATGCTAATGTATTATAATTAGTGTATAATGAGCAGTGAGGACGACCAGAGGTCACTTTTATTGTCATCTTGGTTTTAGAGGGTTTCGGCTGGCTTCTTTACCACAACCTGTTTTATCAGCAAGGTATTTGTGACCTGTACCTTGTGCTAACTTCCTATCCCATCTTGTGACTTAGAATGCTTAACCCCCTGGAAATGCAGTCCAGTAGGTCTCAGCTTCATTTTACCCAGCCCCTATTTAGGATGAAGTTGCTCTGGTTCAAACACCTCTTGCATAATATTATGTGTGAATATGCATGTATTTAACAAGAATGGTTTTTGAGCATATGTACCTGTATCAATACAGTTCTCTCTGTATATTAAACAAGTCATTAAACATGATTACTGGCTTACCCTTTGCCTGTCATATGTGTTGTAAATATTTTTCTACTTTATTATTTATTTTTGATTCTTCTTATTCTATCTTGCCCTTGAAAAAAAAATTAAATTTCTCAATTTAAAAGGAAAAAATAAAGCACTTGTCTGAGAAAGAGAAGGAAAACAACAAACCTGGTCTCAAGGCCAGCAGCTGTGATGTGGAAGAAAAAGATAACAGAGAAATTAAAATCACCCAAACCTGATAAAATGAAAAATTGTGGGGGTTGGATAAATACTAGGAAAAAAAAAAAAGAAACGAGAGTGATAAGGGAGTAAAACTCCAAAGCAAACCCATGATAATACTACCTAATTTTCAAAACAATATAGCATTCATTATGTTCTACTATTTTTCTCATAATTTTATGATAGAGACTAGAAGAAACTTTAAATTGGCTATATCAAGTCCTCAGATTGCCCTATCAGATTAAAACAATTATTTTCTTTTGGCCTGATCTTGTTTGATATATACACAGTTTACTCAAAATTGCAATTCCCACTCTGAATCTTTGTAATGCATGATGTCAGCTACCTAATCGTTCACCCTGCTCTTTCACTTAAGGGATACTGCAAGTTCTATAAATATTTGGTGCATTGAAACAAAGGACATGTGTTCATAATCAGACCCTATTAACTTTGGAATTTTCATTCTCACAACTCCCTCTCCTAACTCAAATCAATTCCTTTCATATTCCAATTTCTTGTTGTTTTGTGTCAGGAAGAAGCTATTGATATTAACCCCTATCTGTACTTTCCTACACCCAGAGGGAGAAGAAAACAAAAAAAAAAGCAAGTGAGGCAATAACTCCAATAACAAACATTCCTAAGTCAACAAAATTTTTTTTCACATTTCCACTGGTTGTGCTTCTTTGGCTCCAAGGTCCACTCTACATATTAATTCAAGAAGTATATCTGATAATATTAAGACCACTTATATTCCCCTTCAAAAAGCCTCCAAAGAAAAGACTCCAATAACTTCTGAACTTAATATCAAAACTTATATTTTAAAATGATACAATACCTTTTGAATAAATATACTTCCTTGCCATTTCTTGCTAATCTAGTAACAAATATAAAAATTTAGTCTTACACATAAACTTTTAAAAAATGTTCTCTAGTAACTAAAATAGTTGATATTTGTCTGGGGCTGAGATTACTTTCTGCCAGTTTACTGTCACCCTTTGGGATACTAGTCTAAAAGATCTTCCTATTTATCATGGTGGCTCATCCCTGCTGTTTTGTCTCAGGAAGCAACCCATTGTCTGCTTTCCTTAACAGTCTGCAGTTGCTGAGGAATTTTGCATGAATTACTTTAGAGGAGAGTTTCTATTGCTTCTACAGAGAAGATACCAGAACTAGGAAGAAAAGAAGAAGACCTCAAAGTTTTATCCTGACATTTAGTAAATATAACCTCTCCCCTCACCCTTCATCCCCATTTGGAAATAATTCACTTTTTAGTTTATCTTTCCCAGTATTCTCAATATATATGCTATTTAGAAAAATTTGAATATAAGGCTTAAATGGTTTATTAGCTATCAGTTAAACTTTGGTTGTCCTAATAACACTTACAAATTTATTTTTATTTATTTATTTATTAATTATTATTTTTAATTTTATTGCATTTTATGTTTTGGGGTACATGTGAAGAACATGCAAGAATGTTGCATAGGCACACACGTGGCAGTGTGATCTGTTGCCTTCCTCCCCATCACCCACATCTAGCACTTTTCCCCATGCTATCTCTCCCCAACACTTACAAACTTAAATTTGCACCTGTAACAACTCAATTAGATTGCCAAGAAAGCCCTTATAAACAAATAGTTTGTTTCTCTGAGGAAATATAAATTAGCCAGGCAGAAATTTTAGAGATGAAGTTTCCTTGAGTCCTAACTTTTTATGTCATGAAAGATGTATGATGGTACTTGAAATGTTTTGAAATCTTAGCATTTGACATTTATTAAAATTCAAATATAATTTCTAAAAATTATTCAAACTACAAATGGATTTTACTTTTCAGTTATTCACTCTTTTACTTTTTTAAAATGTGAATCCTCTACTACTAATGTGAAAAGTTTAGAGGCACCTAGATATTTCATGACTGGGTTTTCTATATTATCTATACTATAAAATTTTTGTTCTTTTACAAAAGATTATTTTTCTAAAGATCTTTCCAAAAATTATTGTACATAGAGTTGTTTCAGATATAGTTAAAATAAGTCATATGCACAGTTTCAATGGTTTTTACAATTTGAGAAGTCATCACCACTGTCAGAAGAGTAAAGATATACATCACAGCCAAAAGATTCCTCATAGCCCTTTGCAATCCCTCTCTCCAGCCTTGCTCCCCAAGAAAAAAGGAAAGTACTTTGTGTTATTATAGATTAGTTTGAATTTTCTAGAGGCTTATATTAATGGAATTAAATAATATGTACTCTTTATTTTTAGGCTTCATTCATTCGGGATAGTTTTTATATTCATCCACATTATTGGCAATTTATTTCTCTTTATGGCTGAGTATTATTCCATCCTATGAATATACCACAATTTGTTTATCTATTCATCTCTTGATAGACAATTAAATTATTTCTAGTTTTTGGCTTTTACATGCAAAAGTGCTATGAATATTCATGTACATGTATTTTTATGGGCTGATATTTCCTTTTTCCTTAGGTAAATATCTAGGAGTAGAATAGCTGGATCAGATGTTAACTATATGTTTAAATTTATAAGAAATTGTGAAACTGTCAGAGGTGTTTGAACCAGAGTGACTCCATCTTGAATAGGGGCTGGGTGAAATAAGGCTGAGACCTACTGGGTTGCATTCCCAAGAGGCTAGGCATTCTAATCACAGGATGAGATAGGGGATCAGCGCAAGATACAGGTCACAAAGACCATGTTGATAAAACAGGTTGTGGTAAAGAAGCTGACCAAAACTCATGAAAATCAAAAAAAAGGACAAAAGTCTGGTGATCTTCACTGCTCATTATACGCTAATTATAATGCATTAGCATGCTAAAAGACACCTCCACCAGCGCTAGGACAGTTTACTGATGTCCTGAGGACATCAGAAAGTCACCCTGTATGGTCTAAAAGGGGAAGGAACCCTCAATTCCAGGAATTGCTCACACTTTTCTTGGAAAACTCATGAATAATCCACCCCTTATTTAGCATATAATAAAGAAATAGCTGTAAGTATACTCAGTTGAGCAACCCATGCTGTTGCTCCACCTATGCAGTAACCATTCTGTCATTCCTTTCTTTTCTTAATAAACTTGCTTTTTCTTTACTCTATAGACTCACCCTGAATTATTTGTTGTGCAATGTCCAAGAGGCTTCTTTTGGGATCAGGATCAGGACCCGTTTCTGGTAACAAAACTATTTTCTAAAAGGGTTGTATCATTTTATATTCTGACAGGCAATATTTTAGAGTTCACGTTTCTGCACACATCTTTAACAATGCTTGATATATATGGTCAGTTTTTTTCAATGTTAGGTATTCTAGTAAGTTTGCAGTGTTATGTCATTGCAATTTAATTTGCATTTTCACTATGCCTAATGATGCTGTATTTTTTTTTAGGTGTTTGTTTGCCATTTATGTATATTTTTAGGTAATGTATTTATTCAAATATTTTGCTGACTTTTTATTAGGTTATTTGTTTTCATATTGTTGTATGTATTCTAGATACAAGACCTTCATCAATTATATAATTTTCAAAGATCTTTTCTTAGTCTGTGGCTTTTCTTTTAATTTTCTTATAGTGTCTTTTAAAAAGCAACACTTTTAAATTCTGATAAAGTCAAATATATTAATTTTTGTTTATATATTGTATTTTTTGTGTGGAATTAAAAATCTTTTTGTAATTCAAGGTTGAAAAGATTTTTGTTTTTTTCTAAAGTTTTCTAGTTTTAGGATTTACATGTAAATCTGTAGACTGTTTTAGAAGAATTTTGGTATATGATGTGAGAGTAGCTCAAAGTTTATAATGTTTGCAAATGACAGGATCACATTTTTTTTTTATGGATGAATAGTACTCCATAAGACCTAATATCTATAAGACCTACTATCTGATAGCACGACAGGGTGACTATAGTCAATAATAATTTAATTGTACATTTTAAATAACAATAACAATATAATTGGATTGTTTGTAACACAAAGAATAAATGCTTGAGGGGATTGATACTTCAGTTTCCATGACGTGAATACTATATATTGCATGCTTGTATCAAAATAACTCATGTACCCCATATATATATATATACTACTCAGTACCCCCATAATTAAAATTTTTTTAAGTTTATAATATTTACAGAGATATCCATTACTCCATCCTCATTTGTTTACAAAACTATGTTTCCTCCATTCAATGGTTAATTGACTTTAAACCTTTTTAAAAATCAGTTGTCTCTATAGATGTGGGTTCATTTCTAGACTACTTTTTTGTTCCAGGGATCTATTTCTCTGTCATTAGGCTAATACCATAGTGTTTTGATAACTGTAGCTTTATAATAATTATTGAAATTAAGTAGATTTAGCCCTCCAACTTTGCTTTTTTTCAAAATTTATTCAATTATCATAGGGGCTTTACATTTCCATATAAATTGTATAATCAGTTTGTCGACTTCTGTAAAAACATGTTAGAAATTTAACTTGGATTGCATTGAAGTTATACATAAATTTAAAAAGAAATTAATCTTAACAGTATTAAAACATCTGACTAGTTAACAAAATGTATTTCTCAATTTATTTAGGTCTTATTTCTTTTCTTTATCATGTTTCAGTAGTTTTGTTTGTTTGTTTGTTTTAGACAGAGTCTCACTTTGTCACCCAGGAGTGCAGTGGCCTCACTGCTACTTCTGCCTCCTGGGTTCAAGTGATTCTCCTGCTTCAGCCTACCAAGAAGCTGGGTTTATAGGCACTCACCACCACGCCTGGCTGGTTTCTGTATCTTTGGTAGAGACGGAGTTTCACTATATTGATCAAGCAGGTCTCAAACTCCTGACCTGTGATCCACCTGCCTCGGCCTCCCAAAGTGCTGGGATTACAGGCGTGAGACACTGTGCCTGGCCGGTTCAGTAGTTTTAAATGTATATGTCTCTCACATATATTGTCAAATTTACTTTTAAGTATTTTATATTTTTGATTCCACTATGAATAGTAATT